GAAATAATTAAAAATATATTTAAAAAAATTAAAAAATAGAATTACCATATGATCCAGCAATTCCACTTTGTAGTATTCAACTGAAAAATAATGAAAACACTAATTCAAAAAGATATATGCACACCCATGCTCACTAAAGCATTATTTACAATAGCCAACATATGGGAACAACCAAAGTGTTTCTCAATAAATGAATGGATAAAGATGTGGTACATATATACAACGGAATATTATTCAACCATAAAAAAGAATGAAATGTTGCCATTTGTGACAACATGGATGAACCTTGAGGGAATTATGCTAAATGAAATAAGTCAGACAGAGAAAGACAAATACCACATGATATCAATTATATGTGGAGTTTAAAACAGACAAAACCAAGCTCAAAGATACAGAGGACAGACTGGTGGTTGCCAGAAGCAGGGAGTAGGGGGTAGCCGAATTGGTGAAGGAGGTCAAAAAGTATAAACTTCCAATAATAAATAAGTCATAGGAATGTAATTATAGCATGGTGACTACAGTTAACAATATTGTATTGAATATTCAAAAATTGACTGGAGAGTTAAATAAATAAAAGTTAAATAAATGGAAACTACCTAAAAGTTCCTACCAAAATCAAGCAATAGCCAATGACAATCTCCTCCCCAAAGGGTAACTCTGGATTAGGATTAATATAGCATGTAAATATGAGGCCTTTGTCGTAAGACAATATAAGCTCCACTCAGGAAACAGGAAGGGCAGAATTGAGAGAAATAACTCCAGAATGGACACTGCCATTCTAGCTCAGGAAAGCTGTGGGAGAGGCTGAAGGCAGGGGCAGGTCTGGTCAGAGCTTAGGGACTGTTGGCTGACAGATGATGACCCCAAAACACCCTTTACAGCAACCTGAGGGGCAGGAAAGGGGAATCCCATCTTGGATCCATGAGAGGAGATGGAAGCAGATTGGACAAACAAGAGTGATGGACTGCAGGGAGAAGTCAACGAATTTTTGATCACACACCTTTTATCTGCCAGGGTTTTGACGCCCCTCCCCTCCCATGCTCCAATATATTATTTTAAGTTATCTCCATATACTTCATATTGAGTGTGTTATAAAACCTTCACAGAGTATAGAATTTAAAAAGATATCTATTGGAACAGAATTTGTAACATTTTATTCTTCACCTTAATCAGTCTTTGTGTGCACCTCGCTTTGGAAAGAACAAATGAACTGTTGGGAGGGAGGGGAGTATGGAGTTGTTACTCCCTGCATAGAATCTCAAAAGGCAAAAACATCCGAACAAGTTTTCCTTAGCTATTCTTCAAAAGAGAACCCTGTAACACTTCAGTAAACAGGCAGCAATATTGCCCACCACTCTCTTTCTAGCTTCCAGCCCTCTACCTGGCTTTTGGATTGCACTTTTCCTCAAAAGTTGCCATAGTTACACCTGATGCCACTGCCAGGAGGTTTTCTACAGTTAGGAAACTCAGACCCTAAAATCTGGTAGTAATCATATCTGATCTGAAACAGTTTGGATGATAACGTTATTCAGGTGGTGGCTGTTTTCAATTTGGGGAAAAGGAAAGCACTTTGTTTAGACTATCTTTTGGGAAGAGGGACTGAACCTTATAGAGCTCTCTTTGTATAGAGTTGTGGGTGCAATAGAGCACTGAGTTTTGTTTGTTTGTTTGGTTTTGGCTATAAATTAGACTACAAAAAATTATTTCCTCCTGAAACAGGTGTATTAACTGTAAATGTTATATAGCATATTTTTAATGCAGGTTTTACATATAGCTCATTGTTCCTATTAGAGAACATCAAATTTGCTGTGGAATTTTTATATATACCTCATGTTATTACTTTAGAGAGAAACACAAATAAACTTATTGTTGGTCTGTAAGAACATCACCAAAGCAAACTATATGGGCAAAAGTATTTGTCCTGTTTGCTCTAGTTCCTATACATGACTGTATTTTGCAGGCAGGGCCCCTCAGCTCCCAAATGTACAGGGCCTCCCCAGAACTACCCAAACCACATTTGGGGTCTTGGTTTAACAAGCCTTCAACTGGGAGAAACTAGCTGGTTTCTGCCTCTAAATGCTGGCACTAGCTTTTCAATGGCACCTGGCTATTCTTCTCTGCCAAGAACTTGGTAGTCAGCCCTAGTTAGCTCAGAGATGCTTTATCTCCCAGTGCACCTTCAGGGAATGGCAGCAAGCCTGCTGCTTCTATCTGTTTAGCCAAGCCCAGGGGAGGTGAGCATGGTTCTCACTGACAAGAGGCAGTTAGTTTACTGGAGTTACAACAAACTACAAAACCCAGCCTGAGGGTTTGGAGAACACATTTTTAAATATCGAAAAACTTAAGAAAAATTAATTCTATAGATTGGTAGCAATTAAGGAAGTCATATTGCTGGAGCTTTCAAAAATAAAGTTAGACCTTAGCCGGTTTGGCTCAGTGGATATAGCGTTGGCTTACAGACTGAAAGGTCCTGAGTTTGATTCCTTGGTTGCAGACTAGGTCCTGAGGAGAATGTGAGAGGCAACTAATTGATATTTCTCTGTCTTTCCCCATCCCTTCCACTCTCTCCAAAAATCAATGAAAAATCCTCAGGTGAGGATTAAAAATAAATAAATAAATAAATAAATAATAAAGTTAGACCAGTTTTTCTGTTTCCTCAGTTCATTTTTACTTGGATTTGTCAAGGTATAGCAAGGACAGCTGTCTGGGTTGACACCAGAGAGCTTTCATGAACCCTACTTCATGGCATTGGCTGAGTTGTGCCTCATGTGAGGTGGGAGATGGTTGAGAAAAGAGAAAAGCAGAAATCTAGTGTCTTTCTGAAAAACTTATAAGAAGGTTACAACAGATTTTTGACTTTGTAATATACTGAGTGTTTTAAAGAACACCATATTATAGCAGTCTCAGCACTCTTAGTTATAAAGATAAATGTTATTTTATCTAACTAGAGTTTTACACATTAATTTACTGTTAATTTCGTTATTTTACTTGAAGTGAACTTTCTATTATATTTTACCCAATTATGTAAGTGAGCTGATTATGCAACTAACAGATTGGCAAATATGAGAACTATTACAGGATCAACATTTTTTTACAGGTAACTACTCAGGTTGTTGGTGGAGTAACAAAGAGAATATGAAAAAAATTTTCTGGTCTGCTCTATTCAGGTTTATCGTTCCTAGGCCTGATTTATAAATGCCTGAATCTTAATCCCTTTTACAAATTAGCCTGGTCTTTAGTCCAGCTGTGAAATGAAATTAGGTTTTGCTTTAAAACAACAAAGCTATAGAAGTGGAAAAATAGAAAATACTAAAAAAAAATACTAGCTAAGTAACTGCAGCAATATATCATTAATTTAAAATCCATCAATCAGGAATTTATGATAGCTCATAAAAGCATAAGATGCAATGTACCTTTGGTCTAATTGTGTAAGAGTTTGCTAAGTGGAAAACATTTTTTCAGAGAGAAGGCTGAAACTTCTAATGAGACTGCTTCTATTACTTTTAGTAATTTTAGATATTTACAATACTGAATGATTTCTTAATTATAAATGATTCTTTCCCACAACTTAAGTCCTCCTGCAGCCATACTAAGTAAATCTTCCTTAACCTACTTATAAGATTTTCTGTCATGATGAAGATAGCCTTTCATTTATAAAATGAAAGCCTTTTCCTAAATCCAACTGCCCTTCCAGTTTTCTTTGAGCAAAGCAGCTTGTTGAATGTTCTGGTTTAAGTACATGAGATCTAGAGACAGCTTGCCTAGGTTCAAATCCCACTTCTACCAATTGGACATGTTATATATGGTTGTGGTGCCTCCATTTCCTTATCTGTAAAAAATGGGAAAAATAATATATAAAAGATTTAAAGGCTGTGAAGTACTCAGAACAGTGTCTGATCCCTTATAGTTAGCCCTTGTTGCTATGACACTATATTGCAGGTAGACTCTGTCATACCCCAGGACGTCACTAAGATAAACTGTAGTGAAATGGTGAACATTTTAGAGCAGGCAGGTTTTTTAGCCCCCCCCTTTACAAGGCCAAAGGCATAATTTCACATGCAGTGCATCACAACTATTTTTCGATTCTTCAGTTTTCCTTTATTTTGGCCTCCAGCCACCCAAGCCCGCCAGGTTCTTCTGGTCAATTATGCATAAGCTTTTTCCAAGTTACCGCCTCCCAGTCTCTACGAATTGTCTCCGTCTCTTTCCAGTTCATGCTAGAATTCATCTGTCCTTGAAGTCCTCCCTCAACTAGCCTTCCACTATGATAAGCCTTAGACTCTGGCACAGCTCTGCCAGTGAAGCCCTTGTTAATAAATTCCGCAGATCATTAGTCTTTCTGATTAGCCTGGTCTTGAGTTCTCGGACTTTGGGCTCCAAACAAGATTCCCGGTTAAAGACACAAGAACACGAGGATGGGTGAGCTGCGGGCCCCGAGGATTGGTGAGAAAGACGAGAGACCAGCTACGGGTTTGAATAAGACAAGGACTAGGGAGAAGGAAGGTTAATGACGCACCCGAATAAGTCCGCTATACGAAAGGAGATAAACTAAGGATCCGGGCGGTGCAGACAGCGAGAGCCGTGCGCGCTCCCGCGCGCACACACAAGGTAAAAGAGGGGTAGTCCCAGGTTTCTGACAGTGACATGGCCCTGATCCGGACACGGTCTCCAAGCTCTCCCAATTTCCAGAGCGTCCCTGTCCCTGCTACCTCGGGACTGTTAGCGCATCTCCCCGACCCGCCATGCTGCGGCGCGGCTGGTGCTATCCCTTCCCCCACTCCAC